CTCAGTCGAAGCTGAGAGTCGGGATGCCATCAGCCCCTCTGAGCCCCAGCAGGCTGTGGGAGGACAGGCATACACTGAGGGGGAGGGCAGAGTTCCTGTCTGCCTGCAGTTCCTCTTGTGGGCTCTGGGCTTCCTATTTTGATCGTTCTGTGACTCTGCTGTTTGTCGCCCTCCCCAATAGGGAATGATTTGGCATCATTTTAGGATTCCAAAGTTCCAGGCCGCTGCTTTTCTGCTCCCAATCACGACTGGCATGGTAGCGCAGGAAGGGGATGAAGTAACCTGTCTTATGCTCCGGGGGCAAGCAAGGCCACAGCTGGACTGCCATGGCTGTGGGTGGGTTGCTCTGGGCAGAGAACTCCTCTCCCAGACCCGCTTGCTTCAGAGGTGTGAGTGTGACAAGGCACGCTGTTTCCAATCATTTTCCTTCCGCTTTGGTAGCGCAGGAGGGCCTGTGCCGCACACCTCTGCCCCCACCCTACCTGCACCTCCAGCCATCTCAACCTTCAACCTTCCCATCCCTGCTCCTGCGGGGCCGCCCCCCCCTCCCAGTGTCCCCTTCTCTCTAGGCATTCCCCTGTCTCCTGCTGGTCAGGCCACACTTAAGAGCAGCGTTCCATTTCCGACTGAGCCCAGGGTACCAGGGCAGTTGCCCACCCCTGTCAGCGTGCGGTTTCCAGCCTGGCCCCCGCTGACGCCCGCCGCTCGGGGCGTTGCCGGCCTGGCGCAGACGACGCTGATTGGCTGGAGCCCAATGAGCGACGGGAAAAAACCCAATAACGTGGCTCTGCTGCCGCCAGGGATTGGGTCGGCGATGTCCTGAGCGGGTCGGGGGCATAGGGCCGGCCTGCCGGGCGGGCGTGGCGGTGTCAAAGGTGGGTAGAGGGAGTCCCTGTACGGCACAGGCGGTTTGGAGGTGGGTGCGAGCAGCCAGGGAAGCAGAGGAGGAGAGGGCTGGCCAGGGAGGGGAAAGGCGGGGCCTATTCGATGCAGAGCCCGGGACCACACCAGTGAGGCCCAGAAGGGACTGAGGAGTAGAAACGTGCCAGGAAGGAAGGGAGGCCCTCCAATGGGACATTTCGATGGCATCTCTAAAATCCTGGCCTCGGCCCTATGACATAGATACTATCACCGTCATCAACACAAAAAGGTTCATCCCCCCCTCGCCCCACAACACCCAGCCGTCTTTCACCAACTACACCATTTGACAATGTGCTCCCCCCCATAACCTTGGCCATACTTTGTAGTCAGGAGGCCTAGCTGCGCACAGCTGGCCACAAGGCCATTCCCTTCTCCGCGAGTTCGTGGCTCCTCTGGGCCCATTACCAAATCAGTCCTACCGCATTTGCCTAGCACCTGTGGGGGCCTGCAGGCTTCTGGAATGGTCCTTGAGTCGTGCATCACCCTTGTTACTCTACTTTTGATGTGGATCTCATCTGATGGATGCAAGCAGGTGTGGTGCTCCCGTGTGGCTACACATCCCGGCTGTATTCACGACGGATTTCCTCAAGAATGTGGGGCTCCAGAGGTCACGGACTTTTTCACTCCACACAAACCGTTTTCACACTCACGCACATGAGTGAATGGACGTCACAGGGCCCTACAACTCCACTCCCACGTGTACATACGCCCAAAAGTGAAAATACACATCCACAAACCTGAATGGGAAGGTCTGTAAACGTTATGTCAGCAGAAGCAACCCACATGTCCATCAACTGATGAACCGATAAAATGTGGTCTATACATGGGACGGATGATGTGGTCACAAAAAGGAATGGAGTCTCAGCACACGCTACGATGTGGGCGAACCCCAAATGCGTTACACTAAACAAAGAAGCCAGACCTCAGAAGGCCGCATGCTGTATGACCGCAGTCCTAGGAAGTGTCCTGAAGAGGCAAATGCGCAGAAACCAAAAATACAGGGGTGACCGCCAGGCGCTAGAAGGGGAATGGAATGACTGCTAAGGGGTTCAGGGATTCTCTTTGGAGTGATGCAGAGGTCCTAAACCTGACCAGGGTGACAGTCGCAAAACTCGGTGAGTATATGAAAACCCACTGAATTGTGCAGTTTAAAAGGGTGAATCGTACGGAGCGTGAGAGGTCAGAATTTCCTCTGCTTTTCTAAACTTTCTACAGTGACCCTTGTGTTTTACCAAAGATCCAGTGACATTTTTAGTATTTGTGTGTGTTTATATATTTTTGTATCTTGTATCCACTGTCAACTGTTTTATAGAAAAATACAGGTTTTTGAAATCTTCGGAAACAAGTACAGCAACGGCCATGCGAATGGTACAGGCCAGGAAACCAGTTCACAGTGATTTAAAATTTTTTTTTTTTCAACGTTTATTTATTTTTGGGACAGAGAGAGACAGAGCATGAACGGGGGAGGGGCAGAGAGAGAGAGGGAGACACAGAATCGGAAACAGGCACCAGGCTCTGAGCCATCAGCCCAGAGCCCGACGCGGGGCTCGAACTCACGGACCGCAAGATCGTGACCTGGCTGAAGTCGGACGCTTAACCGACTGCGCCACCCAGGCGCCCCAGTTCACAGTGATTTAAAAGGGCAGGAGCAGAAGCGGGACTCCAAGTGCCAGGCCAGTTCTTTGGGCTCTCTACCATACATTCTAGAACAGAGACCCCCTGACGAGCACTTCATGAGGGCAATGAAGATTAGAACCGTATCAGACACTTCCAGTCAATTTTAGTTTTCAAGTTTGGACTGACCTCTAAGTTCCCTGGCTGTTTTCTTCCTGCGTACCAGCCACATGAGTCCTGTGCTCACAGCTGAAGTAACGAGTCCGCTCCGGCCCTACACCATCCTTGAGCGGCACACCTCCCATCCAGTACCCTTTCCATACCCTCCTTTCCGAGGTTTCTGTTGTGGGAGAGAGAGCGTGGCTCGCTCCCCTGGTTGAGATAAAATTCTAATTAAGGAAGGAGTTTCTAGCAAACAGAAACCGAATCGCACAAATCGGATCGAGCAGCTGCTTTTTAAAATGCTTTATTAACAGTAACTAGTATTAACAGTAACAAATATTAGTAGAGGAATGCAATCGAACTATCAGATTTGGTCTGGGCACTGGACAAATGAGACATTTCTGAGACCTCACAAGGGAGTGCAGTGTGGGGACTAGAACTAGTTGGGTCCCCTCTGCAAGCAGCACAGGACATCCTAAGAGATTTTGCCGCTGCTCTGCGGCCTCTGCGTCGGGCCATGGAGGGGAGATGAAATGAAGCACCGGGAGGACACTGCAGGGCAACTACAGTCACACTGGACCCGGGAAGCTGCAGGTAGGATGGCAGCGCACAAACTCTTAAACTCGGACAGCGGGGTGTGGCAGGGTGCTACAGTGTCCCAAGCCTGAGGGACTGCAGTGCACGGTTCAATTTGCCTTTCTTCACTTCTACACACATTTGGGAAATTTACACTAGCTGATGCCCAATTCAGTTACATGTTGTCCTCTCAGAAAACTTCGTATTAGGTGGTGGTTTTGTCAGCTCCTCTGTTATTTTTAACCTTATAACACACTATATAATGACTAAAAGATCAGTGTTATACTTGCATATGTAGTTCTAGCCTAAGGTAGTTAACTTGCTTTGCTTTTAAAAACAAAGCACAACAGTATAGATTTAAACGGTAGTATGTCGGAAGTTAACAGCTATTTTAGTTCATCAACATACATTTCACAGCCACTATGATGTGTTTCGCACTGATTCCAAACATATCTAGCAGCTCACTGGGCTTCCCACTCCGAGGGATTCCTGCCACTGCCAGCTGATGGACCAAGATGTCAGGCTCCATAGAGACAGCTGCAGCGACGGCCTCCCCAATGCCACCTGGGGAAACAAGAGACATGAGGCTCTGTTCTGGAAGCAGCTGGTCAGCCTTAAAGCCTCAAGGTATAGAAGCCTTTGAATTTGCTGGCTCCTAGGGAAAAATATTCTTCAGCAGCCATTGATTCACGTCAACAGCCACCCTCTGGCTAGCCAAAAGTCGTCTCATTCGAAACTGTGGGTCTCCAAATTCCTCCCAGCCCCACTACAACAGGAGCTCAATTGGGGCTCCATAGATGCAGGGGTCTGCAAGCTGAGATACTTAAAGCAGTCAGGAAACCCAAAACGATTATGCCAACAAATAAACCATACAGAAAAGAATGACCAGCAGGCCACCAGCTTCAGCAAGGCTGCTTGCAAGGCTGGTCCTCAGGTGACACCTGGGCAATGGGCTGGTGCGAGTACCCAAGAACACCTGCTTTGCTGTGTGCCCGGCAGAGGGGGCCCATGTGGCCAGTGCCCAATAAGACCCATGCTGCGGAGTCTTGAGTGGGTTCGCTGGTCTCCAGGGACGCATCTGTCACTGCTGGAGAAGGGAGAGCACTCAGTGGTCCCCCCATGGAAGGGAGGAAGGGAACCCAAGACGTGGGGTCCTTCACCCTGACCTGTGTCTTCTGTCCTTGCGGGTCCTGGTGTGTGTTCTCTCCTCGTAATAACCTCAGCTGTGAGAGCACAGAGTGCTTCCAGAGGATCACTAAAGCCATTAAGTGCTCAGTGATCATGCGGGGGGGGGGGGGGGG